AAAAACATTCCTCCATTCGTTTTTCTTTTAATTGTTCCATCAAATAATTGTTTTGAAGGAATTTTTGTTTCCATTTCTTTTTAAATTTAATAATTAAAATAAAAATATTAGAGAAAACCTTTCTTTACTTCAAAACAATTTGTCGTTGTATGATAATAAGCATTTGTTGTACTTTGATTAATCCCACAGTTTCTTTGAAGAATTCCAATAATTTGTCTATTTCTTTCAGCCGTATTTTTATAAAAACTTTTTACTAATAAATTTTTTTCTGATTTTGATTCAAATTTTCGTTTTGGCACATATCTAAAAAATTTTTTAATTTAAATATTTAATAAAAAAAACTTGGGACAGAATCCATTACGGGATTTTTTTGGGTTATATTTCCATCTAAATATACATTAAAACTTTTAACGAGAAAAAGGTTGACAATATAAATAACTTTAAAAAAACTATGAAAAACCTTCTAATTGTTTCCTCCCATTCAGACTGATCATAAACATCATGTAATATATCAAGTACTTGATCTAATGTAAACATTGGATTTCCTCCTTTTAACTGCCTAAATTTCAGAAATTTATTTTAAAATTGAAATAAATTAAAAACCTATAATCTAAATTTAGACGTTTACATTGAAGTCCTTCTTGTGTTGCTACTTCAATTGACGCTTTTGAAGGAATTTCTGGCTCTGAAAATGCATCAACAATTCCACCAATTATATAACAAGTATTTGGTTCAACTGACTTTTGAAAATAAATTTTTAATTTAAAAAATATTTTTTGTTTAGAAATAATTTTTAGAACTTTAAAATGTGAAAAATAAAAAAATTAGTAAAAAATAAACAAAAAATAATTAGAAATTAAATAAAGAAATTTTTGAAAATTAATTTTAAAAAATACCTCCAAAGGTTCCTTCGAATGGGGAGAAAGATAAACAATTTTTTGTTTATCTTTCAATTCAGGAAATAATTCCAAATAAGATTTTGATGTAATATGTGCTGTGAAGAATTTTCCATTAATAATTGAAAAATGTCTTTAAATTAAAATAAAAAATAAATATTTTAAAAAATTACTTTCTTTTTGCTTCTTCTATTTTTGAATTATTTTCTTCAATAAAATTTGTTAAATATAAAGGCCAAGGAATTTCACGATCTCGATTTCTTCCAATTAAATATTTTAATTGTTTACAAGCCAAATTAAGACCTCTTTCTGAATGTAAATGAAGCCAACGACAATCAATTGCAATTATTGGATATTCTTCTTTTAATCGAAATGCTTCAATAATTTTATTTGTCGTAAAACGTTTTTGTAATAAATCTGGAATTTAAAAATTATTTAAAAGAGTCAAAAGGGAGAAAAATTATTTTTAAAATTTTCTCTAATGAAAATTTTGTATTTTTATCAAAACCAAATTAAAATAATTAAACTAACCAATATGCGAATTTCGTAAATAAATTAAAGATTGTTCTTCTTTATTAATTGGTAATTTTTGTTCCTTATATTCTTCAAATCTTAATTTTCTCGTTTCTTCTTTTATTTTTTCATTTGTTCGCTTTTTTTCACGTTTGTAAAGAAAACGTAAATAAAAGAAACGATCCTTTGTATTTGATAATTGAATTAAGGAATGCCAATCTAAAAATTAAAAATTTTTTGAAAAATATTAAAAACAAAAATTTCTGACACAAAACACAAACCTTTTTCATCAAGTTTTTCAGGTAATTGATTAAATATTCGTGTAAGGATCTAAAAAATAATTTTTAAATTTATTTAAATCAATTTAAAATAAACGTTTAGTTCATCTTTAAGCGCCACAAAATTTTTCATTTTTTCTTTATCCAGCAAACTCTCAAAATTCGATGGAGGAATGAATTTACGACAAGGTGCATCTTTAAATAAAGAGAAATTAATTTAATTAAAAAATAACAAAACTGTAAATAATTGGTTGTGGGCCTCTGTTTTGAAGACGAAGAAAGCTTTTAAGACGCCACAATAATCGGTAAGTAAATGAATCCAAACTTAACATTAAACACTAAAAATTAAAAAAATATATGTATAAAACATTAATTTTTCAAAAAGATGGCCAAGCCGAAATACTGAATCCACCGATACTGAACCGCCCCCTACCGAAAATTTTGCAAAATGTATATTACAATTTGAAATTTAATATTTTGCGGGACTTTTAATTTTTGATTAAATACGAACTGAAAGCTAGATTTCTTGATTTAGCGGAGAACAGACGAAAACAAAGAAAAGAACACATTTCATCATAAAAGATACTTTTTCCATTCTTATAGAATAAATGTTTAAACCAAAAGTCAACATTTACTTTTCCATAAACGAACAATTTTAACAAATAATTTTCATGGAATCAAAAGAACATTTTTAAATACTGGAATTAAATATCGAAAACTTTCTATTTTATTACGATTCCTTTTTTATTCAAAATCCCTTCTCATCTATCAAATGATCAAGCCAATTGACCACAGTCGGCGATGACAGCGTCCTAAACGAACTTTAGTTTTTGACTAGTTGATCTTCAAATATACCTTGCTAGTTTTGCCGCTTTGTGAGCCAATAGCCTCAACAGACTTCACCACGTCCATTCCTTCGATCACTTTGCCAAAAACGACGTGCTTCCCATCGAGCCACTGAAAATTAAAATATAATCGCCGCTTATAAGACTATAAACCTCTGTCTTAACAGTCGTAATGAAGAATTGAGATCCATTGGTGTTAGGTCCAGCATTGGCCATAGACTAGAAAGTGAAATTTAGTAGAAACAAGTTTTAAAAATAAATTATATACCAATTGACCGGCGCAAGTGTGCTTTTCCTTGAAGTTTTCGTCGGCAAACTTCTCTCCATAAATAGACTCGCCACCAGTGCCATTTCCACGAGTGAAGTCACCTCCCTGAATTTTAATGTCAATATAATCATAATAAAATCAGCCACCTGGAGCATAAAGTTTGGAATAACACGATGAAATTTAGATCCTTTGTAGTGCAAAGGCTTCCCGCTATGTCCCATTCCTTTCTCTCCAGTACACAAAGCACGAAAGTTTTCCGCCGTCTTTGGAACGATGTCGGCATAAAGTTCAATCACAATGCGACCTAAACGTTTAGAATATCCTTATAAAACAGATTTACTAAAAACCTGCCGCCTTGCCACCAAGAGTAATATCAAAATAAACTTTTGGTCGAGGAGACATTTCTTTATATTTTAAAGCACTAAACTAAAAAATCAAAACGCGTTTAAATAAATATAAATAAACAAAGACAAATTTTCTAATAAAGGTAACAAAAACGAAAATAATAATAAGCCCAACACGGCAAACAACTTTTTTTTTTATCGAAGTGGACACTAAAATAAGAGAGAAATGATTCTTTTATACTAATTGATTTTGTCTACTGTATTCTGGCGTTATGTATTTCAGGGGTAGGGGATCATTGAGTCCCGCCGGTTGAGTCCTGCAGCCATATGTTGGGCCATAACCTTTTGGGTTTAACTAATTAGAACAAAGCTTTTGTCACTCGAAAGCCCTGAATGTGAGGATTATTTTCCAACTAGTTAATCTAATCAGATCAACGCAAAAAGTTACATCCAGATAAGTCGTCCCCTACCCTTTTTTCTTGGGTAAGTGGAACTTTTGAGACTTATTTTTGTTTATAATCTTTGAAAGCTCTGAATTTGAGGTTTTCTCGTGTTTCCTAATTTTTTTATATTTGGTATGGCTTCTACTTCAACAAATAGTGGAGGAGTTGTTTACACTGAAAGAGTTAGAAACAAGCGTGTTATTAAACCTTTAATTTATGGTAATTATGCTGTAATTTTTCCTCAGAAAAACAGCAAAGGCCATACACATAAATGGACGGTTAATTCTTATTTTTTATGACTTTTTAAAGTTTATCTAATAAAGATTTTCATTCGCCCTTATGATCGAGATGAAGATTTATCTATTTATATTCGAAAAGTTCAATTTCGTCTACACGAGTCTTATCCAAATAATGTTCGGATCGTTGAGAAGGCTCCATTCGAGTTGTCAGAGACAGGATGGGGAGAATTTGATATTCAGGTTTTTTAAAATAAAAAAATTATTTAAATATTTTCTTTTTAAGATTAAACTTTATTTTACTGACGTCAACGAAAAACCTGTTTGTCGATTTTTGCACTTTATTCTTTCATGAATTTTTTATTGTTAGGTAACAATGTTTCACTATCTTCGATTACATCAACCTCTTATTGAATTAAAAAATGGACAAAAAATGGTCTTGAAAGAACTTTATGATGAGATTATATTTAATGAACCAACAGAGCCAATGTACAGAGCTTTGATGAAACATTCAAATCACAAAAAGGATTCTCGATGTTAGTTTTGTTTTCTGCTTTCTAAAGTCACCTATTTTCTAAGTTCTAAGAACCAAATTACTATAGAATTAAATATTCTGTTCTTTTGGGAAAGCCACTTTTTAAGTGTTTTACGTTGTCCTCCTTTTAGTAATTAAAAATACATTCCATATATTAAATACAAAACTTTTTAGACACTGGCGACACCTTTTCATCACAATTTTATGGGTACTTCCGAACTCCAAAAGATTGTTAAAATTTAATTATTTAAATTTAATTATAATTATCAATTCAGTTGAAATTGAACGTCAGGAGTTGCGAAATAAATTGGAGGCAGAGAATCGCCAAATAATTGCTGAAATTGAGGATATGAAGAGGACGTTAAAGGATGGTTGCGAATTATTGGAAAGATATCGTAAAATGCTTAATGAATCAGAAGAGAAGGGAGGAGATCTGTAAAAAAAGAACAAACGGAAAAAGAAAATTCTTAATTTTGGAATTTGTTTGCAAATTTAAATAATAAGTTTTTTGGTTTAATTTTGAAATTTTTCTAAACAAGTAATTCAAAGCTTGTTTTTACCTTTTTTTCTTAATTATTATACTTATTTTAATTCCTTTTTAGACATCCTTTTTATAGCTTATTGATTCTTTATTAGTGGACAATGACTGAGTAAGTCTTTAAAGAAATTGATTTGAACCAATTTAATTAATTTTAGAGACCAGAAGAAGTTGCCGATGGTGCCTGAGACTGTTTTGAAGAGAAGGAAAATTAGAGCTGCACAACGTGCTTCTCTTCTTAAGAATAAATTGGAGAATATTAAGGTTGAGAAATTTTTATTTTGGCTTTCAATTATTTTTAAATTATTTAGAAGGCTAAGGTTAAAACGCAAGTTATCTTTAAACGTGCTGAGCAATACTTGATTGCATACCGACGTAAGCAGAAGCAAGAGTTGCAGTTGAAAAGACAAGCTAAGAAAGCAGGGAATTTTTATGTCCCAGATGAGCCTAAACTTGCTTTTGTTGTTCGTATTAAGGGAATCAACAAGGTTAATTTAAATTTTCTTTAAAGTTCAGGTTGGATTTTGAATTTCTTCTTTTTGTGCTTTCTAACCTTTTCAAAATGTTTATGATCTTATCACCCATTAATCTACAAATTCTTTAATTTATTTAATTCAGATCCATCCTCGTCCTCGAAAAGTTCTTCAACTTTTCCGCTTGCGTCAAATCAACAATGGAGTTTTCATTAAATTGAATAAAGCTACAATCCAAATGTTGCGTATTGCTGATGTAATTAATGTTAAATTATTTTAAAATATTTTACTTGTTTTTAGCCGTACATTGCTTGGGGTTATCCAAGCCAAAAGATAATTCGTCAACTTATCTACAAACGTGGATATGTTAAAGTTAAAGGTCAGAGGATGCCATTAACTGACAATAATATTGTTGAAGAAAATCTTGGCAAGCAAGACATTATTTGTGTTGAGGATATGATTAATCAGGTTGTTTTATATTTTCTTTAAATTATTTTTTAAAAAAAGATTTGGACTGTTGGCCCTCACTTCAAGCAAGTTACCAACTTTCTTTGGCCATTCAAGTTGAGCAATCCATTGGGCGGCTTTAATAAAAAGTCTAATCACTTTGTTGAGGGTGGAGATTATGGAAACCGTGAAGATCAAATCAATAAGCTTTTGGAGCGTATGATTTGAATTTTTGGAGAAAAAATTATTTTGATTTGTGTTAAGTTGTTGTTATCGTTTGTTTCGAGTTAATTGGTGAATAAATTAAAAACTTGTTTTTAAATTTTGTTTTTCTAATTTTGTATTTCTTTCAATTTTAATATTTTTTTTATCGAATTCTAAAGATTTAAATTTTGAATTAAGGACAAATAGTAGGATGAGTAGTAGTGAAGAAGTTTCTTGGATTTCTTGGTTCTGCACTCTTCGAGGCAATGAGTTTTTTTGTGAGGTCTGATATTTTTTACTTAAACATACTTTGTTGGTAAAGAACTCGGGCTTTGCCCTTTCAATTTTTAGTCACTGATAACTGAGGAAGTCCATAGTGTTTCTATTTTTCCTTTCTTTAGATTTTTTATAAGTCTTGAAAAATAGAAATGTCTTTTTACATTTGTCAGGTTGAGGAGGAATACATACAAGATCGTTTTAATTTGACTGGACTGGCAGAACAGGTGCCGCATTTTCGTCAAGCGCTAGACATGGTTGGGTTTTGACGAGCTTATATTGAGAAATATAAATTTTTTTATTAAATGCAGATTTTGGATTTGGAGCCAGATGAAGATTATGAAGAAGGGCAGAGTGATTTAGTTGAACAAGCAGCAGAGGTTTTTGTTTACTTTTTTGTATTTTTAGTTTAATTTTTTGAAAGATGCTTTATGGACTAATTCATTCACGTTATGTTTTGACTAATCGAGGGATTCAATTAATGCAAGCAAAATGGAAGAATGAAGAATTTGGAACTTGTCCTCGCGTTTATTGTGAAAATCAACCTGTTCTTCCAATTGGTTAATTTTTTTCTATTTTTTATACAAACTTGACATATAATTTAAAACGGTGGACAATTTGTTTATGATATTAATGAGTAGTCATCAATTTTGGGAGAATTCAATTTCATATAATGTTTAGTAATTTTTTTAATTTTTTGCTTTTCTTTTAGGCCTTTCTGATGTTCTTGGTGAGTGCATGGTGCGTATCTATTGTCCAAGATGTTGTGATGTATACTTGCCTCGATCGAGTAAACACCAACATACCGAGGGAGCTTATTTTGGTTAGAAATATTTAAATAGTTTTAATTTTCTTTTTTTATTTTACAGGCACCGGATTTCCTCATATGTTCTTTTTTGTGCATCCAGAACTGCGCCCTAAACGTACCGCCAAGCAATACGTGCCAAGGTTATTTTTATTTATTTTTTATTTTTAATTTATTTTTTAAAGGTTATATGGCTTTAAAATTAGTCCTTTGGCTTATCAAATTCAGGTAAATTTCTCTTAATAAAAGTAAAATTAAGAAGAATAATTTTCTAGTATCATCATGCAACGGCTGCAGCCGTTGGCGCACAAAATTCTCAACAACAAACTGGGGGCGGTGGAAATTCGGTAAAAAAATTTAAATTAAATCCTTTTAAATGTTTAAATAATCTTTAAAGGCTATTGCTTCTCCTGCTGGTGCTCAATTACATCAACATTTATTGAATAATGGGGGTTTGGTGCGTCAAACAAATTTAGTGGAGAATTACGAGTAAATTGAGAGAGGAATGTTTGATCATAATGTTGTGATTTTTTGGGAGAGGGATTTTAAATATTTTGGTTAGTTCTCTCTTTTTTAATTACTTTTTTTTGAATAATTACAAAAATTATTCTTTTATTTTGTTTTGTCGACCAATTTGTTTTTTTCTCTTTTTTAAATTTAGACCTCTATACATAATATTTTTAATTAAAAATAATTTTGCATTTTATTTATTAAAGCAATAGTTTAAGAGAAAAAATATTTTTTATTTACATTTTTTATTTTCTCGCCTTTAATTAACCAGCATTACACAAATCACTATCACAACAACAAAAACTTACAGGAACACCTCCCAATTCATTTTTTATACAATTATTTCTGGCTAGCATACATCTTTAAATTATAAAAGTACATATTTTAATTTGATCTTTATGTATTTACCTATATTGAGAACATCCAGCTTTGCCTGCATCAAAAACATTCCCTGAAGCTGCTGTAGCATTATAACATAATTCATTGCTATTACATTCTACCTCTCCACCACCATAACTTTGACCTCGAATTATTCTAAATCCCTAACAGAAAAATGAATTTTAGGTCTGGACGAAATTAAGAGAGCCTTAAATTTATATTTTAAAAAATAATTGTCGAAAATTGTATTTTTCTTCACTTCAATGAAAATTAATTCGCTTTTGTAAATCCTTCGATTATCTCAGTTATCCCTGTTAATAACTAAACAAAAATAACTTACTGTATAACATCTCAAACATTCGGTAATATTTGCCAAATTTAATAGACATAAAAGGAAAAAATTAAAACTTTTATGTATCAACATAATTGTTGTTGTTGAATTATATTTTTTATATTTAGAGCTTTAAATTGTCTCCTACACTGCGGTGCAAAAGTTTATCTACACTGACTGAAAATTTATTTAAAACAGTATATCTCGTGAAGAATTCGTTTAAATGACATGGATTATTTTTATTATTATTAAGTAACAAGTGCTTTTTCTAATAAGCCATAGTTTTAAAAATAACCCCCAGTACTTATCAAAATATACACCAGTTTCCGAAACTGCTTCAATTTTTTTCGGTGCAAAAGTTTATCTACACTTTGCAAAAATTAAATTTTTAGATGAATAGATGGCAATAAAAACACAAAAAAATTTCAACGGGCATTTCGATTGATATTGAATATAAAATCAGAAAAAACAATATTTCTAGCTAATTTCTTCATCGAGATCTCAAATCTCGAAAATCAACGGGAAATGGGGTTACAGTACTTAAAAAATATTTTAGCTCCCTAGGGCCTGTATCAAAAATTCTTTTTGGGCTAATTAGAAAGCCCATAAAATTTGCTACAAAATATCATTGGTCTCATATTTGTAAACAAATCTGTATAGTAGCTAAGTGTGGGCTACTTATTGTGAAATTAAAAATGAGCATTTTATGGGGTATTTTTGGAGATTTTTATCAAAAATAATAACTTATTAAATTAATCGACCCTTATCTCAAGAAGTTTTTTATACGAAAATTTAAGCTTGAGCTATTTTGTGGCAAATTTTATGGGCTTTCTAATGAGCTCAAAAGAAAATTTTTATACAAGCTCAATGGAGCTAAAATATTTTTTAAAGTACTGTACCACGATTTCCCGTTGATTTCTGTGATTTGAGATCTCGATGATGAAAACTGTTACGGACTTCGTTCTTTTTTATTTTTAACTCAGTATCAATGGAAATGCCCACAGAATTTTTTTGGTATTTTTTCTGCCATTTATTTTTCTAAAAATCCAATTTTTGCAAAGTGTAGATAAACTTTTGCACCGACAAAAACCGAATTAGTTTGGGAAAAAGTAGCATATCATAAAAAGTTCTGGTGCTTATTTTTAACACAAGGGCTTATTAGAAAGAGCACTTTACACTTAATAATTGTGAAAAAAATCATTTCATGAAAACGAAATTTCCCCGAGATATATCGTTCTAAAAAAATTTTCGGTAGGTGTAGATAAACTTTTGCACCGCAGTGTATTTATTAAAACCAAAAAGTAAAAACAATTGATTTTAAACTCAAAAAGTAAAAACAATTGATTGTTCTCGTTCTATTACACCCGAGAATGATTAATTATGGGGACAATTAAAATAAGAAAACTTTTTTTTAATTTTATTTAAAACTTTAAATAATTTTTTTTACAAATTAAATTTAATTTTAAAATCCATATTTTTGTCGGCTCATTTTCTTTTGTTGTCTACCTTCCGCCCATTTTTCTTGGAGTTGCTCCTCGCGGGAGATTGCCTTTAAATGTTTTTAAATTGTCAAAATTATTGGAAATAAAAAAGTAAAAAGATTGGATAATTAAAAGAAAATGTCATTTAGTGTTGTTTCCCTCCCTCATTCATCAATTCCCCTCTTTACTTGTTTATATAATTGTAAAAACTAACCACTTGAGCCAAATGAGTAATTTGATGTTTTCGTTTAGCTAATCTCTCTGGCATTGTTTTAGCAGTTTTGTCACTTCCTTGTGGTAATTTAGGTAATGGGCCACAAGCTATTTGGGCCTATAAAAAATAAAAATTAAATTTAAATAAATTATTTCAAACCATTTGTTTTGTATTTAAATTCTGTAGTAAATTCTCTCTAATATTTGGGCCTAATGCTGCATCTACACTTACATCAATCATTCCGCTAATAGCTTCATCTGCTATTGCCGAATTATACACTCCATTTGGAACAAGTTCACGTTCAAAAATCAAACGACTTGCCTCCTTAAAATTTAAGAGAAATAAATTTTTTTGTTTAAAAAGTAAAAAACTCTTTACTTTTTAGAAAATATTTTTATTTTTATTCTATCCTATTATTTTTAATATACCTGATCTGTAATTGAACGTAGAACACTTGGTGTCTTTTCATCCGATGAGCAAGAAATAGATGTATCATTTGATAAATTATCGTTCAAAAGTCTAAATTTACTTTTTATTAGATAAATTTAGTAATTCCTACAGATGTAGGCTTGTCAAAAAATCCATTTAAAAATGTCGAAAAATCCATTCTGGAAAGGTAAACTAGAAAAGTATATCCGTTAAATGGATTTAAATTTATTTCGATTGATAAATAAGAAAGCCTCCATCCATTTATATAATTAAATAACCTGGAAGGTCCTGGCGCAACCTCTTCGAAAAAAATTTGTGGCTCATTTAGAACATCATAATCTTCACCTTCTAGACGAATTTTCTTTGAAGCAGGTTCTGATGAATTTTTTAAACCAAAAAAATCAATCGGTTCATCAATTTCAATTTTTTCTTTTTCAATTCCCTCATTTTCATCATCTTCATTAGAATCTGAGCTATAGTCAACTATTCCTAACAAAGAAGTGCCAACTGGTTTTTCTTTTATTTTTTTGAATTCAACAGTCTTCGTTGTTTCTTCAATTTGTTGTGTTTTCTGAAATATTTTTTTTAATAAAACTCGTTTATATTAACTAAGAGAAACCCTCTCAACCTAGGTATAGTTTACTAATCGAGTTAAAGAAATTAGCACCCCCTACTGTCCCTTTTTATTTGAAATTTTAAAATAAAAAACCTCCAAAGTTTGTGACGGTCCAAGTTTTGGTAATGCAGAAATTGACGGGAGTTCTGGTGCTTTAGTTTGTGCTACTCCCTTCGGTTTTGGTAATAATGCCAAAAGGCCAGGCTTTTTACTATTCATTTTTACTTTTAAATTATTAACAAAAAATTAGCATGAAAAATTTTAAAAAATATTTTTAAATTTAAAAAATAAATTTTTAATTTAAAATAAACAAACAAAAAAAATTTTTATAAAAAATATATATTATATATAAATTATGTAGTAACTATTTATAATATTAATTCTTGTTTTGTTTGTTGACGTTCATTTATTATTCTTTTCAAATGTTTTAATGTAAGTCCCCCTTTGTGTTCATTATCGTTAATTATATTTTCCACCTAATTTATTTAAATAATTTAAATTTAAAAAATAAAAATTAAATTTTACTCCAAATCCAACGTTAAAATCAGTTTCCCAACTCCATCTAAATGTAATTGCCCCATTATGTGGATGTCCCATTGGAAATGTTTGACTAAAAAATTAAAGAAAAAATAATAAAAAAACAAACAAACATCCAAAATTCATTAGGTATAAATCCAATTAAAGAATCATAAAATGTTGAATAAGGATTTTGATTAAATGATTGATTTGTAACTCGAGGAATTGGAAATTCCAATTTTTGTCCATTCTTATCTGTGCGGCTTTTAAGCATAAAATTTGCTTAAAAATTAATTTAGAAAATTAAAAACAATAAAATATCATCCAAAATAAAAACTAACGATTTAATATATTTTGAATTCTAACACCACGACAAGGCAAATAATGATTTTTTGGAGGTAAATCCCTTTGATCATCGGCTGCCCAAACAGGGAAAAATGCACTTTTTCCCTTAAAAATTTTTTAAAATTTAAAGTAAAAAAAATTAAATACTTTAATATCTTTAATTTCAAAATGTTTTTGAGACAATTCATCTAATTTAATAGCATCTGCAACAATTAATTCAGGAAATTTATTAACAGAAGGCCTTTAGAAAAATAAATTTTCTTTTCAAACAATTAAAAACAAACCTAACAAAAGATCTTCCCCAATTTCTTTTTTGTTGTCTATCAATTCCTCTAAAATATCTTTTATTAATTGCTTCACAAAATTTTTTTGTTGCTTTTAATCTATCTTGTAAATTTAATTGGCTAATATCATCACCATTTAAAACAGCCCCATCCAAAACCCAAATACAAGAATTTGTTGATTTTATTTGTTCAGAATCAAATTGATAAATTTTTGTAATTTGTACAAGCAAAATTGTATCTTTCGGAATTGTACAATAAAAAATTTCTGCATTTGTAACATTCAAAGCATTTAAACGTTGACAAAAAAGACCGTTAGAATCTGACTAAAAAATTACAGAAAAAAATGTTTTTGTTTTAAAGAAAGGAAGGAATACTTACAGTTTGGCCCTGGGAAACAAGCAATATTGGATCGTCAGATTCTGTTAAAAGTAAAGCACGGAGCTCATTAATATCAGGACAAATTCGAGGTTCATTTGGAGTGAATGGTGCCAAACGCCGTTTTATTGGGAATTGTAATTGCTTAAAAAAAAGATAAAAAACAATTAAAATTCTTTTAATATTTTATATTGTAAAATGTTTGGATTGCTTAAAAGAAAACTTAAAAATTTAGAAAAGAAGTCCTAATAGAATTTCAGGACTATATTACAATGAACTGGTTGAATAGAATATAAAAATTATTTTTTAAAATATTTTACATTTCCAGCAAATCTTCGAATAGTCACAGAAGCAGGTTCTCTATTATTTTGATTTAAATGTTGATCTTTTACAAACTTTCCATTCTTTCTAAATTGTATACGCGTTCTTTCAATAAAATCAGGTAATTCCCAATATTTAAGTGCCTCTTCTCTTAATTTTTCTTGATCTCCATCAATAACCCCCGGTTCACTTGCATATTTTCTGTATTTACGTAAATAAAAAATTTGTCTTCTCGCAATCCTTTTAAAAGAAATTTTTATTTTTCTAAAAAAACTTAATTCAAAACTTACTCTTCACAGCTATTTCTCATATAATTTATAAAAGTATCATCTCCACAAATTATTTCATTAGGTACCAATTCAAGTATATCTTCTACTTCTTTATCAAAACTTTCTAATTTATTATTTATTTTAATTAAATAATCTTTTATTTTTGTTTTTCCAAAATTATTTAAATTTTCACAAAAAATATATCTAAAAAATAAATTTAAATTTAATTAAAGAAAAAAACCTTTCAGAATTTGCTGGTCTTGAAGTTATTGGTTTGTGAATTGATATTTTATCAAAAGAAACATACCTTTTTTAGAAATTAAATAAAAAATATTTTTCTTAAATTAAAATAGTACTTACATTAAATAAATTAATCCCATAGAGAAAGGCGTAAAAATATCAAAAAGTTTACACAAAAAATTTCCTCCTTGAATTTCCCCTGTTTCTGTTTTTATCTTAAAATTAAATTTAAAAAAATATTTTATTTATTTATTTTACCCCAACACGACATAATGAAAGGCCTGTAATAAATTGACAAAGATATAAACGTTTAGAAAGAATTTCCTGAATATTTTCTTGGCCTTGAACAGAAAAACCTCCATCACACATTACAAAATGAACACCTAATTAATTAATTGAAAATTAAAGGAAAGTATTTTGATATGTTTAAATAAACAGAAAGTTTTAATATTTAAAGAAAATACAGCCAAATACTCAAAGAAATATTTTTAAATATTTGATATATTTTAAGATAAAAAATTATTTTCTTTACCCTTTTCGGTTGAATGTATTCTTTCATCAAAAAATTGATTTAAAGATTCCAAATTTTCTGGATCTGTAACATTTCCATCTTCTTTAATTCCATAATAAGGTTCAAAATATTCTGAAGATGCTGCTTCAAATCTTTCCAATTTAAAATCATCACGACCTTAAAAAATAAATTTAAAAAAATTTTTCTAAATTTAAAAATACCTGTCAATGTAAATCCAAAACCTTTAGAATTGTAATAACCTTTTCTCCAAAGCATATATTCACTAAAACCACCAGGACCAGCACAGACATCAGCAAAATAGAAAAGAGAACGTTGTCTAAAAAAAGAAATATTATAGAAAACTTTACAGAACAAAAATAAAATTTCTATAAGAATTTCTTTCTGACTGACATTTAGCGAGGTAAGGAAATAAATATGTAATTATACCTATCAACATTTTCTCGTTGTTTTTCTTTTTCCAATGGATTCTTCGCAAGCCTGGATTTGTCCACAAATTCCCAACTAAGTCGCCAACCAAATATTTTATCCAAATTTGCCATTTTCATTGCTGCTCTAAAAAGTATTTTTTAAATATATAAAAATTAATGAAAACCTATTTTGGAAAAATCCTGCTTTAATTGTTTCGTATGGATTTGCTCTGGCACGGGCCTAAAATTAAGTAAAATGTCAAAACGGGCTATTAAACTAAAAACTTAACAGCATCTAGAACTCTGTGGTCAACAGTATCAAAGAAATCTTTTGATTCCAATAATTGAGTTAATAATTCTTGTGAACAATAACGGTCTTCGTCATCGATACGCATTTTTGGCTAAATTTTAATATTAATTTTAAGCAGGGCATAAACGGAGAACCTTTCCAACAATAATCCAGTCGTCATTCAAATTGTTGAGTAAAAGATTTCTATTTTCCTCTGAACAAACCAACCAAGTTGGCGTCTCTACAACAGATTTTATTTCAGAAACGGAATCAAAATCAATTTCAGCCAATTCCTTCAACAAGAAATTATATCTTAAAAGATAAACAAACCTTTGAAGATTTAGAATCAAAACCGAGAGCCGTTCTCCCAACTTTTTGTCTGACAGAAACCGGTTCAACTTCCCCATGTTCTCGCTTTCCAAGTCCTTTACCTTCTTGCCATCCCATAATCTAAAAAAACAAGTACAATTACAAACTTTTTAAAAATTAAACTAACCCGCATCATCTGTTCAGCTTTTGATGGTTGAGAGGAATCTACAGCCTTTGTAGATAAACTACTTTCTGCTTCCTCACTCATTTCTGATTCTGACTCTTCCTTATCGCTTGCCATATTTTTAATATGGAATCCAAATATCTTTATCTCATAAAAATTAATTCAAAAAAATAAAAATATTGAAAAGAAAGATATACAAATATTAAAACAGAAATAAAATTAAAAAAATTTATTTATTGAATTAAAATTTAAAAAATTGAAGAAAATACAAACAAAAAATAATTAAAGATAAAATTAAATATTTTAATAAATTATTTTTCATCATTCTCTGAATTCTTTAAAGAACCTTTAACATCAACAATAAAATCATTTTGACCAAACTAACAAAAAATATATAAATTAATTTAAATATAATTTTTTACCTCATCTTCTTCCAAATCAATTTCTTCTGGATTCTTTCCATTGTTCGTTGATTCATTGGTTGTTTTTGTACTGATTTCCTCACTAATCGATGATTGTGTATTTTTGGAAAGAAAATAAGGAATTCCAAGGTAATTTACTGAAGCTTGAGCAAATTGAAGATTTAAATCTTGAATTCCAAGTTTTTCACAAAATTGTTGACTTTGAGGATTTCTTTTAAAAAAATTTGTTAAAATAAAAACTAAAAATGGGTAACCGATAATATAAACTAGGTTGTCGATTAGGTTTTCCTTTGCCTATCAAAGGTTCAATTTCTGGCGGTGCTGTACGTTGAAAACTTAAAGGAATATGAAAATCAGAAGAAAATAAAGTATTGACAGTTTCTAATTCTTCTTTTGTTGGGCGAAAGTCGAAACGTTCTGTTATTTCCTCAACATTTTTTGATGGTGTTTCAAGAGGTAAATTAATAAACTACAAAAAAATATTTTAAATCACGAAGTTAAAAAAAGAAAAACAAACACGGTCCGTAAATTTTGTTAAATGATCTGTTGTTCGAAGTATAGCAAGCCATATAGGATCATAACACAATTCCATAGAAGAATCTAAAAGAAAAAGTAAATAATTTAAGTTTAAAAATTAACAAACCTTCAGAAATAGGTATATCAATATATTCCAAAAATCTACGTCGATTATCATTGCCCATAGGTTTGTCCAATGCCAAAAAGTTTGTAACTCGAGAAGAATTTATCGAAGATTTTATTTCATCTGTTTGAGTTCCTTTCTCTTCATCATCTTTATTATGATGTACAACAGCAGTAAAACGAACATGTAAATGGGCTGCAAACCAATGCAAAGGTTTTAATTCATGAAGAAGACTGAATACTATTTGATTAAAAAACTAAAATAAATTAAATTACTTCATTGTTGCCGGATTTCCAAGTCTATTAAATTGAATATCTTCAGCAAAATAAGGTTTTCTTTTCAATAACCAATTACAATCTCCAAAGTCAGTAATTCCTGCCGGCCAGTCATGAGACATACAAATATCAATTTTAGAATCTTTTCCAGAAAATTAAAAATATAATATTTCAAAAAAACCTCTCAATTGTTTCAATCTAAAAACATCTATTGAACGAACATGATAAGCAGAAACAACAGAACCATGTTCTTGAAATGGTGGACGTTCAAAATGACCCTTATTGTAATCATTTGATTTAAAAATTCCCGACAGCCCAGCAATACGTAAACCGGCAAATTGAATGACCTAAAGAAAAATTAAAAGAAATTTCTGAAAAAAATATTTAACCGAAGCGTAGCCCATATACCAAATATTCGGTGCTACCCAACCTCCATAAGGTAATTCAGCCATATAACCACTACTTTCATGATTTCCTCCAATAAATAAAGTAAGAATGGGGGCTATCTAAAATAATTATTTTAGAAATAATACAAAGGAATTTGTCTCCACTCTGGACTGTGAATGGAAATGAAATGTGAGAGTGGGGAGACGTATTAGAGAGATTTCATTTTATCAAAGAAAAACCTTTTCTCCACTATAATACTTGTAAAATGTTCCAAGTTTGCGATGATGTGGCGGGGCATGAAAATAATGAAGATCTCCATGATTTCGAATTGCCTTAATTATAATAATAAAAAAGTTTATTTTTAAATAAAATTACTTGAAAGTCCCCACAACATAAAAGTAAGTCAAATTTTACATTTCTTTGCTTTTCTACATTTGTTAAACTAAAATTTATATTTTTAAATTGTTTTAAAAAAAACAAAAACCGTTCATATATTGTATCCATTTGACCATGAGAACAACCAGCTACAGCAACATGTAAATTTCTATGATGTCTAGCACGTTTCATTTCTGGTTGATCATCAGATTCAAAATCTTTTATTGTTGATGTGGAAGCATCCCCTTCCAATTCTTTAGAATCCATGTAAGAAGATTTTTCTAAACGCAACAAATAAATAAATTAAATTATTTTATCGAAATGTGGACTCTCAGAAAATTGGACTCAAACTATAAATTATTGTAAAATAGAGTGGTAAAAAGAGAGAGACAAAAACATTATATTTTGAATGCCAAAAAAATATACTAATTTTATTAAATAATTAAAAAAAACTTTTTTACCTAATTCACCAAAACAAAAATTCTTTCCATTTGAGAATTTAATAAAAGAATTATTTCCAACACAATTAATACTCTCTACCTATAAATTAAAAAAACATTTTTATTAATTTAAATTATTACCTTTTCATCTAAAATATCAGGCAAATCAAAAGGATATGGAGTTGGTTGTATTGAACATTCTTCAGGCAAAATTCCTAATTGTCCATAACCATTCCATCCCCAACCATAAATATCTCCCTAAATTTAATTTTATTTAAAATTTATTCAAATTACTTCATCAGTTATAGCAATATTATGCCATAAAGAAGAGGATAAATCTGTCACGTTTATTCCAGCATCTGCCAAATCCGAAACAATTCTTTAAAAATTAAAATAAACAGAATGTTAATTTTTGAATGAATTACCCCTTCTTAATTATTCCCTAAAATAACCCCGTATTTATTTTATCAATTTTATTTTAATAAAAATTCCTTACTTCGGTTCTGTCCATTGTCCTTGTTCAATACATCCATGTCCCAACTCTCCACGTGTTCCCGTTCCAAGAGTGTAAACATGTCCAAGAGGGTTAAATAAAGCTAAATGGTCATTCCCGGCTGTTAACTATTTTAAAATTTGTAAATTTTTATTTAATTTTTACCTTTCTAACATGAAAAGGCATTTTAATAAAAGAGTAGGGGGAAGACGGATCCTTTTCAATTAGTAAATTGAAACTTTCTTGATCATAATTTTCAACTGGCTTGTCATAAAGAAGTGGAGACTAAAAAAATAAAAATAATTTTAAAATTAAAATTTACTTCATTTTTATATAAACAACGTAAAACGGAGCACAGAGAGCAACTTACACAACGATAATTAATTGCTAGAAAAGCACCAAAGGATGTACAAGCTAATAAACGACGAGCAGGAGGTGAACTTAATGGAGGGTTTGGACCTAGAATTGAAATAAAGTTTAAAGAGTGAGGGAATGATTTACAGTAGAGATCTGAGGAAGGATTTAACGTTATACTAAGAGGTTAGATGGATGGTTGTTTAGTAAGACGAATTTTAAATAAAAAATCAAAAATTCTTTACCTAATTTCTGATAATCCTCCCAATGAGAGAATCTAGCCTCAAATTTATTTAGCAAAATATTATCATTATTGTCGTTTTCTTCCATTTTTCTACTTTTGATTGTAATATCCTTAAAAGGTAAGAACATAGGTGGTCTCAAACACAAATTCTTTTCAATATCTCTTCCAGCCTCAGAAGGTAAACCAAGTGGAAGAACAAAAAGTGACTTCAAAAAATATTTTTTAAAAAATCTTTATCAAAAAAACCTCTTCCTTCATTTTATATAACCAAATATAACCACTTCTTGCATCATCCAAAAATAATATATGTTGCTCTGTTACTCCAATTTGTTCAATAACTGTAGCTGGAAGAGTAAATTCAACAATTTTACTAAAAATAAATTTTAAATTAAAAAAAAATATTTCTAAAATTTACTTTGAAAGATTATCAACAATTGTTATTTTAATTTCTTCTGTTGGTTTTTCTAATTCGAAATCTGTTTCAATATATCCAAAATAGGTTAAATATTTCATTTCTAAATTAATCTAAAAAACAGATTAGCATTAGAAACTCAGAAACTTCCTTTATTTTTTCAAAAATTAATCTAAATTTGAACAGAACATCAAAATGAATGACAAATTCAAATTATAAAGATGGATATTTTGAATTTTTGACATTATTTCCAATCCTTTTCTTATTAAAATTTAAACTCAAAATTATTTTCAACTAGCCACTCTAAAATATTTCTTTATCCACTTTCCTTAAAATCACAAAAAATTTCCAACAAACCAAAAAATCTTAATTTAGAAAAATTTCCCAAAAAAAATATATTAGACTATATTATTAGAATATATTTAAATGAAAGGAAGTCTTTACACAAAATAATATTTCCAATATTACAATTTCATTATGAGGTGAAAACCAAAAAAATATATTTAAATGAAAGGACAATTATTTTTTTTTACTTTTTTTCATTGTCTGAATTTTCTCTTAAAAATAAAACAAAAAAATTTCACACAATTTTTAATTTATTTAAATAATTTCTTTAACGACATATTCTTTTCCTGGTCTTTTGCCATTACTTTACCAACTGCCATTTCAAAGTCTTCTTGTGTAACGTGTATCCGACGTTCTCGAAGTGCAAACATTCCTGCTTCAGTACAAACAGCCTTCAAAATTTAAATAAAAAATTAAATAAAAAAATTTCAAAAAAACCTTAGCCTCTGCCCCAGAAGCTCCTTTAATAGACTCAGCAATTTTACTTAAATTTATGCCACGCATCAAATTCATTTTACGAGAATGGATTTTCAAAATGTCCAAACGTGCCTTCACGTCAGGTGCCGGAAACTCAATTTTTCTGTCAATTCGACCTTTAAATAAAAATTATTTCTTTCTCGAAAAAATTTTTTTAACCAGGTCGAAGCAATGCTGGATCCAAAATATCAATTCGATTTGTAGCCATAATTACTTTAATATTTTTTGTCGCTTCAAACCCATCCAATTGATTAAGTAATTCAAGCATTGTTCGCTGAACTTCAGAATCACCTCCATGACTGCCCTCAACTCTTGATGATCCAATTGAGTCAATTTCATCCATAAAAATGATAGAAGGTGCATGTTCACTTAAAAGTAAATAAATAATTACGAGAAAATTTAAAAAATCTTTTTACCGAGCCATCACAAAAAGTTCTCTAACCATACGTGCACCTTCACCAATAAATTTTTGAACGAGTTCAGAGCCAGAAACTCTTATAAAAGTACATTCAGTGTGATGCGCGACAGCACGAGCCAAAAGAGTTTTGCCGGTACCAGGAAGACCATAAAGCAAAACGCCCTAAATAGTTAAATTTAATTTCTTCAAAAGTTGAATTTTCAAATTAAATTTAGAAAGAAAAATTGATAACCTTAGGTTGTGCAATTCCTAATGCTTCAAATAATTCTGGATGCTTAACTGGCAACTCAATAACTTCTTTCATCTCCTTAATTTGACTATCCAACCCGCCAATCATTTCATAAGTTGAATCCGGTACTTTCTCAACCATCATTAAACTAACAAGTGGATCAACCTGAAAGTCAAATCTTATAAAATTAAATTCTTATAACTATATTATTTCCACTCAAAATGGGAGAAAATGGAAAAATCTTGACGGAAGATTGAGATCTGAAAGCCTGTCAACTCAATGTAGAAAAGATGAAGGGACCAATAATCCATATCTTTACCAATAAAATATTCACCTTATTTGGTAAAACCATGTGTAAAGCATAACTATCAGCCCGTAGAGCAACTCTGCAACCAGCAGTCAACTTAACTAGGTCAACTGAAGAGTCAATATCAACAACATATTTCCCTTCGGGATGAACCTAAATAATTTATCTAAATAAAAAATAATTTCAAATAAAACCTTCGAAAGAACTTTCTTTTTATCCATAACCTTCACAACCTCTCCAACATTTGAGCCTTGTTCATTAAGTTTTGATAATTCTTCCTTTAACATTCTAACCTTTAAAATAATTATAAAATTAAAAAAATATTTTCTTTCACAAAAAACCTTATTATTCATTTCATTCCGCTGAGCCTGAAGTCTCCGAACATTTTGCATTTTTTCAGTAAGTTGCTGCTTTGCTTCCTGAATCTTTGAAGTATAATACTGACGAAGAGTACTGGCTTCATTTGTTTTGTAAGGTTGAATTGGTTGTGCAATCATTGTTTCGCAAGAATTTGAATTTGTTGGTGGTCCCATATTTAATATTAAAAAATTCTGAAAAATAAAGTCAAAATTAATTGTTATCAAAGTTTATCAGTTCATGGAAAATATTCAGAAAATATTCGTTATTCAGCACAATTAAATTCTCGGTAATCAGTCTTATTACCAAATAGAGAGAATAATAAAATAATATAAAAATTAGGTTCTTTAAGATTGTTGAATTTAAGCTTAATGTTAAAATTGTTAAAAAATCAGAAAATGCTGACAAAATTTCAACAAAGAGAAAACGAATTAGAGAAAAAAATTGGAGGCTCCTATACAACTCATCTAATCGTTAACTCATCTATTCGTTAACTCATCTACTCGGCCAAAAAGGGTTAACTCATCTAATCGTTAACTCATCTAATCCTTAACTCATCTACACGGCCAAAAAGGGTTAACTCATCTAATCGTTAACTCATCTAATCCTTAACTCATCTACACGGCCAAAAAGGGTTAACTCATCTAATCGTTAACTCATCTAATCCTTAACTCATCTACACGGCCAAAAAGGGTCAACTCATCCAATCCTTCGGAACTAGACTATTGAGTACCGGCCGTTTGAGTCCATGGCCAGTAGAGTACCGCCGGTTGAGACTCAACTGGTCATGGACTCAACTGGCCATGGACTCAACTGGCCATGGACTCAACTGGTCATGGACTCAACTGGTCATGGACTCAACTGGTCATGGACTCAACTGGTCATGGACTCAACTGCCCATGGACTCAACTGCCCATGGACTCAACTGGTCATGGACTCAACTGCCCATGAACTCAACTGGTCATGGACTCAACTTACCCATGGACTCAACTTACCACTCAAACGGCCAGAGACTCAAACGGCCAGAGACTCAAACGGCCAGAGACTCAGACGGCCGGAGACTCAGACGGCCAAAGACTCAGACGGCCAAAGACTCAAACGGCCGTTACTCAATAGTCTCGTTTCGGATTGGATGAGTTGACCCTTTTTGGCCTTGTAGATGAGTTAAGGATTAGATGAGTTAACGATTAGATGAGTTAACCCTTTTTGGCCGTGTAGATGAGTTAACGATTAGATGAGTTAACGATTAGATGAGTTGATCCCTTTTTGGCCGTGTAGATGAGTTAAGGAATTTTAGCCGTTTAGATGAGTTGAACGTTTTTGGCCGTGTAGATGAGTTAACGAGTAGATGAGTTAACCGGACACGAAATTGGATTAAATAGCAAATAAAACGTAACGCCAAACGAATTTAAATTACAAATTTATGAATAGTTCCCCTCTCCTACCCCCCTCTTCGACTGTATAACAAACAAAAAAAACAAAAATTCTTTTAAAACATTTTATAAAAATGTCATTTTTTAATTTAAATAATTTAATTTTAAGTATATCTGGGGATATGAAATTTTCTTTGAGAATCAAAGTAAAAATATTTATTTTTCATCAGCCTCATCTGATTGTTTAGATTTTTTCGAGATTATTAAATCATCTGAAAGAGCAACATTCTCTGGGCTAAAAAATTAAAATTATTTAAAAAATATAAATTTATCTAAAATTTTTATTTAAAAAAACTTTTTAATTAAGAAACGGCAAATCAGCGCAAAATGATCGCTCACAAAACAATTTGGACCTAAAAAATTTTTAAATTTTTAAAAAATAATTTAGGTAAACCTTTAATTCGATTAATTCCTTCCAATTTAAAATCAACTTTTGTCTGTGGAGGACCTTTAAAAAGAATCCGATCAAAACGAGCACGAGGCTGAAAAAAATAGAAGAGATTTTTTCAAAATATTTTTTAAATAATAAACCTGTCCTTTTCCAAATCTTCCCGCATAATTATCATTCCTTTTAAGATCCCATGTATAACGATATTGAGGTTGTGAACCTGCCTCTATCCAGGCATCTTTAATTGATTCTGGCAAATTTCCAACCTTTAAATAAAATTTAAAGGTTAAATTAACCAAATTAACCTCTTTATCGCGAATATTCAAGTCTCCACCTTTAAATTTTAAATTATAACCAAAATTTAAAAAGAAAATCAATTTTTACCAAAAATTGCAAGTGTTTCATCAGATTTTGTCATTAACTCAATTTGTTCAAGACATTTAGAAAATTGAGAACTTCTAGCATTTGAATAATCAGCCGTAGACTCCAAATGTGAATTTAAAAGATTTATCTTTAAATTTTGCCAAATGCCCTTTTTAATTTAAAAATTAAAAATGTTAAATTAAAAATATACCTCAACAATTAACATTCCTCTACCCATTGTTGTATTATCAAAAGGAATAAATTCGTCTTTTATTATTTTAATATTCTATTTAAAAAATTGAAAAATTATATAAAAATTAATTTTTAAGAATACCTTGCTAACCAAAGTTATACAAAAATATCCACAATTTGGTTTTTGAATAAAAGTGTTGTACATTGGAGACATCTTTTAAAAATGTTTTAAATGTGAAACTCAAAAAAAAGTATTGATGGTTAAGGGTAGAAATAAACCAACATTGAAATCGAAAACCCCCTTTCCAAAACACTTTTAAAAAATTTTTTCCCTTTCTTTCTTATAAATTAAAAAAAATAAAATCTTACCAATCCATTAAGTTGAGGCATTAAAGGTTCAACCATTTCTTGCAAGAAAATTACTTCTGGATTTGTTCTAAATTAATTTTTAAAAATTTTTTATTAAACACATTTACTTCGCAATAATATAAAGAGCAGCGGTAAAGCGCTTTTCTCTCTGACGATCATCGAGTCCATCAACATTCCAAGAAATAAGTGTTAATTCTGATGGAAAAACTTCCTCGTCTTTATATGCCCTAAAATTTAAAAAATATTTTTGAATAAAAATTAAAAACCGTTTGTTATTCATTTGTGGTCCATTAACCCCAGTTACCACTTCAACATCAACTTCTTTACTATTACTTGAAGTCGGCAAAGTTTGATTGCTATTATTAAAAAATTCAGTTAAAGCACGCTAAATGTTAGAATTATTTTTTAAATAATTATTATAGAATAACAAACATTAATGTCAAAATCACTTTCCTGCAACAAAAAATGTGCCAACCCCTCATCTACTTGTGTCATTTCAGCAAAACGTTTAATCGCCTTGAAATATAAATATTTAATTATTTATACAAAAAAAACCTCCTCACACTCCTCATCTGTCATGTTATCACAAGCAGATGACATTTTTAATTAATAAGGTCAAAATTTATATTTACCAGCCAACTACCTATATTAACCTTAATTATTTTCAAAAAACAAATAAATTTTTCCAAATATTTAAAAATTGACCAAAATTTATAATTTACAAAATTTATAAAAACAAAAATTTATCCCATTAACAAAAAAAAAATAAAATTCTAAACTTTCATTTTCTTATTTTGTTTAAAATCTTTTCTTCCCTTATCTTTCCTTTTTAAAGGTACAAATTCTTTTTCAGTTTTAACTGACGGTTTTTGTCTATTTTGTATTTCAGATTTTTTAGCAATGGCTTTTTCAAGTTTTGAACGATTGGAAATTGGTAAATCAACAAACGGAGGTACTTCAAAACCAAATGATTTACAAACCTTTTAAAGATAAATTTTGGAAAATAATTGTTTAAATAATATTACTTTAATTAAATCCAAATTGTTAACATCATAAATTTGTTTAAGTGAATGAGAATCATAAGAACGAATATAGCCTTTATATGCTTCTTTTGCTGATTTATTTAAATAATAATTTTGTGAAATTAAACGTTCTAATTGAGGTTGAATATTTGCTAATTTATTCCAAGAAAATTCATATTCATTCAATGTTACTTTAGCTGCCTAAAACAATTTATTATTTGAAAAACAGAAATTTATCTGTTGAACGTCGACATTTTCTCTTTTCATATTGGCTCACCCACTTTATGCTAATAAGGGAAAAATCCTCAAATTTATTACAATAAGGGCAGACTTATTGCAAAACTTATGTATGACGAATAAATCCCAAAAAATGTTTTAATAAAAACAAATAACCTTTAAGAAACGCAAAAATCCCAGCTCTTCAGGTCTCAAAATTAAAAGGGCATTTCCGGTTCCCGATTCTCCTCTAGCTGTTCGGCCAACTCTATGAATATACTCGCGGGGCTCGTCTGGTGGATCATACTGAAATTTTCATTTGCAAAATATAAAAATTAAAATACCTGAACAATCCAATCAACAGAAGGAATGTCCAAACCACGAGCGGCAACATCTGTACATAACAAAGTACCAGTCTTTGCACGGCAAAATTGAAAGAAAGTACAAGTTCTTTTTTGTTGTTTTTGTTTGCCCTGAATGAAAAAAAATTTAAAAATTGTTTAAAAACAAACATGAATGCTTAAAACAGGAAGATCAATAAAATTAAGTAATTCTTGATGAAATCGAACAGAAGCACATGATGAGAAGAAAACCATTATCTGAAAAATATTAATTTTAGAAAGGTTGCCTCTGTAAAGAAAATTAAGAGAATATTTACCTTTTTTGACTTGTTCTTTTTAAGAAAAGTGAAAAGCAAAAGAAAACGCTTTTCTGACGAACAAACGACATAACCCTGTTTTCAGATAATCGAAAATATTATTTTATAATTTTATAAAATACCTGCTCCAATCCTTCTCGAGTTGCTAAATCATTTATGCTAGAATCTGTTAAACTTTCTGCTCTCTGCTCCATAACACCAATTTTAAGAGGATTTGTTCGCAATGCAGCACGAACTAATTCTTCAACTTTGGCCGAACACGTAGCAGAAAACAAAGCAGTTTGGCGTTTTTTGGGTAATAAACGGACAATTTGATGCATCTCCTGTTCAAATCCAATGTCAAAGATTCTATCCGCCTCGTCTACAATGAGCATACGAAGATTTTTAACAACAAAACTTTGAGAATTCTAAACAAATTAGTTTCTGAAAAAAAATTCAAAAATGCCTGTAAATGATCGAGTAAACGTCCAGGTGTTGCAACCAGGATCGAAACTCCTTTCGAAAGCCTTAGTTCCTCCGTTTGTCTATTTGCACCTCCCATAACCAAAGCATGAGATAAACATGGTTGTTTCTCCAAAAGTTCATAAAGAACTCTTAATTCAAAAATAAAAATTAAAAAGAAAACAAATTTAAACCCATATGTTTGCATTGAAAGTTCACGAGTGGGTGAAATAATAATTATTCCAGTACCTAATAAAACGTTTCGACTACAAAAGAAAAAAAATCAAAACCATATTGCTGTTTCCAATCTGCACGAATCAAAAGTTCAATAGCCGGTATAAGGAAGGCTAAAGTTTTTCCACTTCCCGTTTTTGCCGCTCCAAGAACATCAACACCCTAAACCGAAGTTTTACTTAATCTTATAAACATTGACAACAACCTCTAATAGCGGTGGAATACTCCTTGCTTGTATTTCTGTCATCCTTGTAAACCCCATCTCATCTATAGCATTTAAAGTTGCAGCAGCTACACGACCTTCAAATGAGCGGAATGTTACATCGGTAAGAATTGATGAAGATATTGCAGGCTCAACAAAGGTTGTCGATTTTTGCTGTAAATCCTCAGAATCGGCGTTCTGAGGAATTAATAAAAATAAAAAAAGTAGATTCTATTGTATGAACCTTTTCATTTTCCTCAGCTTGTTCTTCCACATTTTTGCATTCTTGTTCAATTTCTTCATCCTGTTCTAAAATAGTCGAATCCTCCCCGTTGAATAATTGTTCTTCCTCTAATTTCTTCTGTTTCTTGTTACGGTCACCACGCTTAAATTGTTCTAATTTTCTTTTGAAAACTTTCTTTGCAACGTTCAATGTTGAAGGCATTTCAAGTTTTTTGCTATAAAAATCGAGACATTTAATAAAAACGAAATTAAAATAAATCAACAAATATCATTGTATTAAAAACAAACTTTTGTTTTCAAAAATTCTATACATTTATAAAAAAAATTTGTTTGTTAAATATCAATAATTACAAATATTTCTGTTTTATTATTTTTTTCATCATTTAAAACTCTTAGACTTTCTTCTCCACTTTGATTTAACCTCCGTCCCCCAACAATTATCTGCATATTAGAGTAAGTAATAGCCTTAACTTCAGTCCCAGGCGGATGCTTTTTTAAATCGAATGATTCCCCCCAAACACGTAAATGTATCTGAAAGTAAAATTGAAAAAAAATCTTAAATTAAATAAATACCGAAAATTCTTTAGTTTCTGAAGAAACATTGTGGCAATTCAAATCAAGAACTTGCGCTGAAGAACCGATAAAGAATGGCTCTGTCGAAAAATTGTAAAGACAGGTATCCAAAATATTATAGAGTAATGAAAATAGATCATGTCCACTAGCAGTAAAGTCCATAGAATACGTCGGTTGTACAGACGAGATCTCCAATGTCATATAACCTAAACTTGGAATTGTTGTCGCGAAAGGCGACAATTAGAATTTAATTTCTTTAAGTTTATTTTTTCTAAAATTTATTTTTCTTAAAATTCCAATCTTTATTTTTAACCGCACCTGCTGTCTAGGAAATTCTCTTTCTGTTTAAGAAATTTTTTCTATTTCTAACTTTTAAATTAGCTTTCTTTTGTTTCTTTAAGCGCATCTATTTTTAAATTAACTTTTTTTGTACCAGCCGCCATTCATTAATTTCTATTTTCTTACTTTTGGAATGTTGTTTTTACCTTTGATTCTCTACCCGCCTATTTTTTTGGCCTATATAATCTTCCCTCCAAAACCCACATTAGCTTGCTTGCTTTTGTCTCTCATAAGCTCTGCTCTGTTCGGTTCCAGTTCTTGGTTCTTTGGTTGGCTCTAACTTACTGCTTTGGCTTATTATTGTTTGGCGCTTTATTTATTGGATTTAATTTGATTTGGAAAATAAATATTATTTAATTTGTTTGGAAATCTTTGTTTGAGTTAGGCTCTAGGCTGAAACTTTGAAATTGTCCCTGAGCGTTTACTATAAATTTTTTGGTGCAACGGCCGGGAAACCATCCTGGTCACCGTGTGGAATCAATCTTTGGCTCTCTTTGGAAATTTATTGCTCTGGACTAAATCAAACTGAATTGTTATGGCTGCCTGTATTCGACGCAACATTACAGCAGTTCTGAAGGGAATACAAACCTATACGAGAGAAGCAACGCAATTAATGGGTAAAGATGTGGACGAAGGAATATGTGAGAGATTAAGGTCAAAGAAACTGGACTTGGAATCTGCCATAGCACGAATTGTTGAATTGGACACACAGTGGACTGATATTATAAATAGTCTTGATGTAACACAAAGAATGGCTGAAGAATCTATTTACATGAATTTCCCGCATGGAGAAACTGGTGGATTAGAAGACGGACAAGAGGTTCCCCTTTCCAAAAGGCATTTTTTGGACCAGAATGAGTTTGCTCGTGAAGTCCTAAACATGGTTTCGGAAATGCTTAACACCCTGGAACGCTCTCGAACCAACTCTCGTCAGTCGGCGCTGAGTGAGAGTAATCATAGCGTAGATTTGAATGAGGAGACAAATAATGCTAGAACTAACCATTTGGATGCTAGGATGAATAACACTGGAATAAACCATTTGGATGCTAGGACCAACAATTCTGAGAGGAATAATGCAAACTTACCTGTTTACCACGCACTGCAACCGCCCTTCTTGCAACCACGAGTGAATCTTCCGCCACTTCACTTGCCGCATTTCTCTGGTGATTCAAAAGACTGGCCAACCTTCTGGCAAATGTTTTCGTCCACGATCGATAATGAACCAAGCTATAATAATGTGGTGAAAATGAACTACCTGCTATCTCTCTTGGACGGACCAGTTCTAAACGTGGTAGCCGGTTACCTTCCAACAAATGAGAATTACCCGCGTGTGGTGGAACTATTAAAAACTCGATTTGGGGACTCAAAAGTATTGAAGGAAGCGTTGCAATCTGAACTGTACCATCTTGCGCCAGCCAATGACTCCGTAATAGGACTTCGGAAATTTTTGGATGTAATTGAGCGTGTATGTCGGCAACTGAGTGATTATGGGATCCAAGACGATTCATGGATTATCTTTGCTCTGAAGGAAAAGCTACCCAAAGGGATACTAGCCAAATTGATTGAAAAGGAGAAAATGGCAGGAAAAACTTGGAAGATTGAAAATTGGAGATCAGAACTTAACCTGCTCATATCAGTAAAAGAGGAAGTGCAAAGATGTACGGTTAATAAAGAAACCGAAGGACCGCCGCGAAGAGAAAGACGTCCATTTTACCAGCCAGAGCCTACTCGTTCATTTCCAGTGGCTAACCAACCGAGATCGTCCTGTTGTTCTTTGTGCCAAGGAAACCATTTTCCTAGCGAATGTACTAAATATGGAAATACGCAAGCCAGAAAGGACCGTTTATTGGAACAGAACCGTTGCTTGAAATGCTTAAGAGAGGGTCACCGAGCCAATGACTGCCCGAACCACCGTCGCTGTAGTAGATGCCAGGGACCTCACCACCTTTTGGTATGCTTTTCGCGAGATGTCAAGAGCCAAAACCGACCCAAATTTGTTGGATCTGCTCAGAGAATGTTCTTTCAGCCTAGTCGCCCTGAACCAGTTGCTAACCCAAGACAATTTACTCAGTCAATATGGGGAAGGAGGGACGAACCGCACCTTATGGATCATGGGACAAGATGTGACGCCAACTTGCCAGCGCCTAAAGAAAATTCTGTGGTAGCAACAGTAACGAATGCCAAAAATAAACCAGCTGCGTACCTGATGACAAAGAGATTAATGGTTACTGCCCGAGGGCGTAAAGAAAAAATCCCCGTCTATGTGTTCTTTGACACTGGAAGCCAGACGAGTTTTGTTTCACGCCGACTGGTGGAAAGACTCAACCCGCCAAGGGGCCGCGAAATTGACCAATTGGAAATTCATGGATTTGGAGGTGCTTCGTCTAACCCGCTGAAAATTCGATCACCCACGTATATGGTTAAAATACAAAGAGAGGATGGATATTGGGAAGAAATAACCTTAAATTGTACCGAAGAAATTGCCACTCCATTTGAGATGATAAATTTTGATGAATTCTTCTACAACCGTACTGGGGTTGATAGCCTGGAAATCGTGAAAGAAAAACCAGATATCATGATTGGGATTAAACAATTTTGGAAATTCTTTGTGTCAAAAGGGAAAGAAATATTGCCTGGTCTTCACTCTATCCGTACTGTTTTTGGAACAATGACCGCTGGCGAAACTAATTTTGGACGCAATTCGAACAAGAAATCTATGTCTCTGGTGGCAGTAAATGCGAGTAAGAATGAACCTCTTCCAACGCCTGACACTGTTGAAGATTTCCGGAGTATGGAGTCTCCCGTGCAAAATCATGCTAAGGCAGAAGCTAACCTAAATCCACGTCCAATCTCGACAATCTCGGAGGAAGCTGTCGCGCCGCTGCCTTTAAGGCCTAATGATTTGGTGGTACCACATGGAGAATTTCCTTTGAAGATTGACTCAGCCGATCAAAACCAGTTAGTAAAACATCCGATAGCTACAGTGGCAAAGGCTAAACTGGCAGCAAGTACATTGGTGGCACTTTGTCTTGTTTGCGTCATGGTCTTTGGTCCAACTGGAAATCAAAGAATGGAAATATGTTGTGATGAATCCCCCACTGAGATGCTTTTGACTGACTATCCTGGTGTGGCCAAATTTTGGAAAAGCTCGCTAGAAAAGTTTTCGACAGAGATGACATGCCCAGCTTTAAACAAATGCTTATTACTGAACTCAACCTTTGGCATCGATATGATAGTGAACCCTTCGTGCAATCCTAGCCTTGCTTTTCTTTGGGCACTTGTTACTCTGACCGCGTTTTCTGGACTTTGTTCTGTGCTTACTCTTTGCCGATCTTATCGTAAAAACTTTCGAATGATTGTGGCTATTGGAAGGATGGGATGTCAATGCTGGAGACGGACGAAAAGAAAGACTGCTTATACGAGGGCACGCACCAGAGAAACAATCCGAAATAAAACAAAAAGCTCAATACATAACCGTTTCGCAAACTGCTGCCATAGAGGACAAACTGGAATTCAATGCGTCTTCAATCACGCTGCTACACTCACTTTATGGCACGGGGGACAATCTGATGCTATGATGATCCGAGATGACAGAAAGAAACAATTGAAGAAAAGAAAAACCATTGGGGGCCCGGGAATGTCGCGAAAGGCGACAATTAGAATTTAATTTCTTTAAGTTTATTTTTTCTAAAATTTATTTTTCTTAAAATTCCAATCTTTATTTTTAACCGCACCTGCTGTCTAGGAAATTCTCTTTCTGTTTAAGAAATTTTTTCTATTTCTAACTTTTAAATTAGCTTTCTTTTGTTTCTTTAAGCGCATCTATTTTTAAATTAACTTTTTTTGTACCAGCCGCCATTCATTAATTTCTATTTTCTTACTTTTGGAATGTTGTTTTTACCTTTGATTCTCTACCCGCCTATTTTTTTGGCCTATATAATCTCCCTTCCAAAACCCACATTAGCTTTCTAATCAGCTCTACTCTATTCTGTTAGTTCCATTCCTTGGTTCGTTGGTTGGCTCTTACCTATTGCTGTGGCTTATTATTGTTGGCTCGCTTTATTATTTTTTGTTGGATTTAATTTAATTGGAAAATAAATATTATTTAATTGGATTGGAAATTATTTGTGGGAATTAGGCTGAGACTTGGAAATTTGTCCCTAGGCTTCTACTACAATTGTACAAAATAATATTTGAATAGAAAATATATCAAAATTACAAACCATAAAGTGAAACAACCAATTGTTGAATAGCCTCTTCTACAGAATCACCCCAAGCGTGTAATTGAACATCCGCAGTATGGTCTAAATAAGCATACTGAACAGGAGCAATTTTTATCTCATTTTCATTCAATTTATCACATTCAGTCATTTCTTATTTAAATTTAAATAATATTTAAAAACCTCAAAATATATTAAAATGTCATAAACATAAAAATTAATCTAAATTTAATTCTATATATTTATTCACACAAAGATGTAAAACTAGCACTAAAAGAGACAATTTTACGATAAAGAAATGATAATTGCGCGCATAGATTAAATGAATAAAACTAAATACAATGAAAGGACAAAATGCATAAAATCGTTTAATTTTTATAATTTTCTTAAAAATATTTAATTTTCAATAAAAAGTTGAGGTATGATTTTTTGCATAAAATAGATAAAATAAATTTCTTTTAAAGATGAGATTAAGCATTTGAGTATATTTTAATGTAAAGGATTTCTGGTAATTCAGTTTATATGAGGCAAATCAGAGGGAAGAAAAATGTTGTATTTAAGAAATGGACTGACTAAAGGAAAAAAAGATTCCAGTATTTACAAGTCCATTCCCTAATGTGGTTAAGTAATACTATTTTCATCAATTAATTCACTGGGCCGTAAAAAAGAAAAAAATTTTGAGGTATTAATAAAAAATTTAAATTTTCCATGAAATTTTTAAAATTTAGTTACGGCCAAGTGTTTAAATATAAATGTAGATCGTTTTTCAAGGTATATTATAATAAATTTTGGTACATAAAAAACTAAAATTCTTTCCAAAAAATTGGAGAAATATTTTTTGATAAAATTAATGAGATGATTATATATATAATCTAAGCAGAATTGCCAAAGAAAACTTTTTTAAACTTGCATCCCAAAAATGCTTGGCGGTGTTTCCACCTCACGCTCTACTTGTTCATGAATTGGCTGACGCAGGATACGTTCATTGCAGAGTGCACGAGAAGCAAAAAACAAAAAGCGTTTAAGTGTCTTAATGTCAATTAAATTAAAATAATTTAAATTAATTTAGACCTTATTAAAAAAGAAAAAATTGAAAGACCAAATACATCCATCCTCTGTAAAAGGATCACCACAATATTGAGGAATGTAACTAAAAAAAATAAAAAAAAATCGAAAAATAATTTTCAAAAAAACCTATAAATGCAACATTCGTCAATTTTTATTGAATCTTCGATAGTACGCCAAAGAATGTCGCGTAAAAGTCCGTAATTATGAACAGTTGCCACAAGCTTTCCATCAACACTAACTATACAATCCTGAATTAATTATAATGTAAATTAAATAAAAGCAAGCAATTACCTGGTAAGTAACTTTCCTGAAAGAAGCACTCTTCGTTTGTGAAAAATCATAATCTGGATAGCATTGATTTAATAAAGCCAAAATATTGAAAAGAGTTCTAAAATATAGTTTTTAAAAAGAATTTTACAATTGAAAGGAGAGATATTTTGGTTGGACTGTTACTCCTAATTTGCCTCAGGTATTAAAAAATAGATTTTATTCAGTTTCTGCTTTTATTCAGTTCTACAAAAATCAACAATCCGGAAAAGGATAATCTCTCTAACATATGCCAGAATTTTCACGGTCATACAAAATTGTTACCGTTTTGAGATTGCTTCAACCAAAATAACATTGTCACCACAACCACCACTTTCCTCTGTATCATTGTCAGAAAATCCAGAGTTGCTCATTTCGGATAAATGTCTAACAAAAAAATTAAAAAAAATGTAAAGAATTTCTACCTCAATCGCACTGATGTTAAATTTGGTGATGAAGACAAAACAGATTCTTCTGGCGGAGAAAGCGGTTGTAATTCACGGCCATCTACTGGACATTTTATGCTCTTTTTCCATTCCTTTTTGTCGCTTGTCACCATTTTGCAAGAGTAGGATTCCAATCTATGTAAAGTAGATTGGAAATTTTTGTTTTTAAATTATTCGAATTTACCGAAGATCCAAAAGCAAATCCTGAGCATTTCGCGAAATTGTTGTAGCTATTTCATCAAGTTTCTCATTGTCAAGTAACTTCATTGCGCCCTTTATGAAAAAAAGGACACTCAGTACAATGGAAAAAATAAATATATATCAAAAACATAAAAAAAGGACGGAAAAAGAGAAAAGGAAGAAAAAAATAAAACAATAAAGTAAGTTCACTTGTAAAAGTAATTAACTTGAGCATGAAATGCGTAAGAATTTTCCGTAAAACACGCTTAATTAAGAACCAACATCTTTGCTATGGAAATTAAATTTGATTGATTTTAGTTGGCGAACTCTACTAGGAGACTCTAAAGTCTTCTTTCAATGAGATTGGCGTTGAAATGACATTTGTGTCCTAAACGGATGAGTTCCAAGTCATATTTCGATTCATAACTTTTTAAGTTTTCAATCATTTCAAATAAATCTGATATCAACCGAAAGCTTTAAATATATTGATTCCCTTTTTTCATCAAGTCGAATGATAAAGGATTCGAATTCGAAAAGGCTGAAAACACTAAATGTTACTCGGGGACTCAACCGTTGCTGTATATTTTAAATTTCCTTATTTTTAAATTTATTTGCAAAATGTTTTTAATTTATAAATGACAATTTATCCCAATCAGTTATTTTTTGACTTTTTTTTTAGTTTTTTCATCGATTCTTCTCAATTTTTTAATTCATTATTTTATTTATGTTCTTCTAGTTAAAAATATTTTCTATCAATGTGTGGATGTCGAACGCCTTCAGGTAAAAATTTACAAAAAGAAGAAGATTATTTTAGGAATTTTTATTTAAATTAGATTTTATTTGTGATTTGCCTATGGAAATTAATTTTGCTTTTTATCCTCCACCAACAGTTAATCTTCCAAATTTAGAAATACCTGATTTAAAAGAATATAAGGTTTTTAAATATGAATATTTTTTGAAAATAATTTTTAGTACAAATTCGATCGAGAAAGGCTTACTATTGAAAAATATGAACAAGAACAACAATTTCATTTAGAAACTATAGCAAATAAAAAGAATTCGACAACTTCTAATTCCGAAAAAGAAAGGTTTTTGTTTATTTTTAAATTTAATTATTTTAAATTTTTCTAAAGTTCTTGTGAAGTTTTAAATTCAAAAATTGATCAAATTACTCCAATTCCTTCTGGGGGCCTTGTAAAGAATTCATTTTCATCGTCGTCTTCTCCATCATTTTTTAATTTGGAAAATAATCAAAAAATTGAAAGGAGAGTTGAAACAAATATTTTATTACCTTTAAAAATTCAATCAAATGAAGAACAACAACAATCAGGTATATTTATTTTTAAAAAATATTTTTTAAATATTTCTTCAGTACTTTTACAACCACAAAGGCCAAATGACGAAAACCCTGTTTTAAATAAAGATTTAACAAAAAATAACAAAAATCAAATAATGGATTGTTTGGAAGAATTTGAAGTTCGGCGACCAGATCTTTTTGATATGGTTGAATTAAAATCAATTGATGATCGATTAGAATTGGCTAAATTAATGTTAACTGCCAATAATCAACAATCACCAACTTGGTATGTTTTTTTGGGAATTTAAAAAGAAAATTCTTTTTAGATTTTTATTTGCAAAACAATTTTTGGGAGATTAAAAACACAACTTAATTTGACTTTAATAAAAAAATTTTATTGTGATTAAATTCTCTTAATTTTTTAATTATTCAAGAAATTTTCAAAAAAGATTATTTTTTTTGTCAATTCCTAGTAAGTCAATAAATAAATTATTTGTTTTTATATTTAAAAAAAATAAATTTTAAAAAATATTTTTTTGTCCTTTCTTTGGTCAATATTTTTTACAAATAAATGGACATTTTTTGTCTAGCTTTAAAAAGACGTCTTTTACATTCTTTTATTGTTACTCCTTTTCCTTCCTAAATTTCAACAGTTTTGCCAAAAATTGGAAAAGCCTTAATATTTAAAGAAAAAGGGGGTTATTGACGGCCCTTTTTTCCTTTCCATTACTTAAATTTTTTTTTTCCAGTTTTCTAAAATGAATAGATATATTTTATTAATTTTAAATTCCAACTAAAAATAATTTTTTGAAAAAAAATTATTTGAAAATTAATTTTAATGACCCTGAAAAAATACCCATAAATTTTTTGGTATATTTTCTCTTTTATATTCGATCGCCCCTTTCATTTCTCTTATATTTTCGCGAGGTTTACTTTTTACTTGTCCATTCATCGACCGCTTTTCTTCTTCTATAGTCCACATCCTTTCCATAAACACACATTATTTCTTCTCTTTTTTGGATATTCACTGTCCGAATGCCGTAAAATTTAACAAAAATTTTTTAGAATTTTTATCAATTTTAAATTATGTTAATTGTAAATTTATTTATTTTATTTATTTTTATTAATTTATGTAACAGTTTAAATTTAAAAATATATCCAGGTTAGATTTACTCTTTTTTTAATCCCTTTCATTATTTTTTTAAACAGATAATATTTTTACTTGGAATGTTGTCAACAAACAAAATAATTTTTTACCTTCTTTTGGTCCAATTATTATCAATTCAAAACTTGGTTCTCTTTATGTTGGTGCTAAGGGGAATTTATTTCGTCTTTGGTTATTTAATATTAACGATACTTCTTCAAATAATTTGGTAATTTAAAAAGAAAATATTTTTTTTTTAAATTTAAATATTTATAGTTTTCCCATAGAAAATTTGAAATAAATTTAGAAGAAAGGGAAGAATGTTTAAAAATGGGAAATAGTGAAAGAGAATGTGATTTTTGGATTAAACAAATATTTATTAAATCTAATGGAGATTTATTGGTAAATTGTTTAAAATAATTATTTTCTTTTTTTTTAAGTTTTGTTCAAGTCAGTCAATGAAACCTCAATTAGGTTTAGTAGACGGAAATTCTCTTTTAGATAAACAAGAATTACATACACAAATTGGTATTTGTTCCCAACATGAAGGGTTAAATACAACGGCTATTTATGTTGAAGAAGGAAATCCGAATGGATTGCCAGCAATTTATTCTGGAATTAGAACTGGACTTTCTTTAGAAAATCAATTAATTTACAGACCTCCTTTAATGAATTTTGAAGGAAATAGAGAAATATATCCAGCTTTACGGACTCCAATTTATGATTCTAATTGGTTAAATGGTATGTGGATATTAGTCTAAAAATTGTTTTCTCCTTTTTAGAACCTCAATTTGTCGGTTCTTTTTCTTTTGGTCATTATATTTATTTTTTCTTTCGGGAACAATTAACTGCTGCTAATTGTAATAATAATAAAGGTTCTGTTATTTCAAGAATTGCAAGACTTTGTAAAAATGATTTGGGTGGAAAACAAGTTTTGAAACAAGTAAGAGGCGGAGAGGAAGAGAATATTTAAATTTATTTTTTTATTTTTTTAAAGGTTTGGACATCTTTTGTTAAAGCAAATTTAAATTGTTCTTTAAATGGATTTTCTTTTAATCAAATACGTTAGAAATTAATCAAAATATTTTTTTAAATATTTTTTTATTTTTAAAGAGAGTGTAACACAAATTGAAGAGAATAATCAAAATAATAATTATTTATTTTATTCAACATTTATTGCTGCAGAAAATACTCCTTACCAAACTTCAGCAATTTGTGTATTTTCTCTTTTAGAAATTAATAAAGTTTTTGATAATGGACCTTTTTTGGAACAACAATCAGCAGAAAGTGGTTGTTGGGCAACTATACCTGCTGAACAAATTTCTATTGAAGGAAGGAGACCTGGAACTGTAAGCGATACTTTTTCTCTTTTTTTAGATGGAAATTCTCTCTTTATTGTGGGGATATCTTCCTCCCACTCCCCTTCCATAAACATTAAAATTCTTTTAATTTTTAAAGTGTCAAGAAGATAGCCGTCAACTTTCTGATGAAGATTTACATTTTGCTAAGCAACATTTACTTATGGGAGAACAAATACAGTCATTAGGAAATACTCCAATTTTTCATAAAGGACAAACATTATTAACAAAAATAATTGCTACAACAATTATAACAGAGAAGAAAAAAGAAAATAATAATAAAGTTTTGTTGTTTGTTTATGAAAAAAGGTTTAAATCTTTAGGAAAGTTTTAAATAATTTCTTTTTTTAAAGGGAAAATGTTTTATTTAAAATTTTACATAAAATAAAAGAAGGAAATGCTTATTTATTAGCTAAATATGAATTAAATGAAAAAATTAATTTAATGGCTATATTACCTGGAGAATATATTTATTTAACTAATGAAAAAAGGGTTTGGAGAATTTTTGAAAATTATTAAAAAAAATTTTTTTTAAGGTTGAACAATACAGAATTGGACAATGTTCGGCTTATGGAAAGAATTGTAGAAATTGTGTTTTAGACCCTTTCTGTTCTTGGTCAATTCCTCGAGGGGAATGCTTTTATTTGGTTTGTTTAAATTTGTTTCTCTCAATTAAATAATTCTCTTTAAAGGAATCAACACATTCAAGTTCCCCCGGTTGGCTGACAGACGAAACTTCAATTTTTAGCTGTTCTGAATTAATAAAACCGACAGAATTAAATGTTTTCCCAGGCGATTCTTTGCATTTAAAATGTTTTGGAGATGAAAATAAAATTAAATGGATTTTTAATGGAGAAAAAGGTTTGGGTTTTTTAATTGTAATTTTTATTTAAAATTTTTCTTTAGTTTTTGAATCAGATAAATATATTTTAACAAAAAATGGGGGATTAATTTTTTTAAATCTAACTGAAAGTTTGAGTGGTGTCTGGACTTGTTTGGAGAATGAAAATAAATTAGTGGAATATTTAATTAAAGTTGATGGAGGTTTTTTTGATTAAATAAAAATTATAATTTTATTTTTTAAAGAAAATTGTACAAAACCAAAAAGTCTTGAACAATTCCACGCTGTTCAGAGAGAATGGTGTCGAAAAATGGATAATTATAGGAATAATTTATCGAAATGGCAAAATTTATATGAACAAACAAATGAAGAAAATATAAAAAGTTGCCCAATTAAAGAAGATAAATTGACACAATTTGAACAATTAAATAATGGAAATAGTAATATTCTTTAATTTTTTTATAAAAAAATTTTCATTTTATATTTATTTTCGATTAATTATTTTCTTTCCATTTTTATTTATTTAAAATGTTTATATTAATATAAAAGTCAAAAATTTTGACATTTTTAAGTAGACATCGGGTCTAATAAATGGGAGTATAATAATTTGGATATCAAAAATATAAAAGTGAATAAAATGATAAAAGTCGAGTATCCCACTTAAAATAAAATATATTTTTATTTTGTTTGACAGAAAATTATAAAATATCAAGAAAATTTGATTTTCTGACGCAATTTTTACCAAAATTTATTCAAATAAGGTACTCGACTTCTTTAAGGGTCCGTGGTAATTTTTTGTAAAGGTCAAATAAATTGAAACCCCATACAAAAAATACTTTCTTTAATACTGAAATTCAATTAAAAAAAGGCAAGTTGCTGGCATAAAATAAATATAAAAATTTATCTAACAGCACCTAATGTTCCAAACACGTGATCCCTAAAAAAGAAAGGATTTAATTAAAAAAATAAATACTTACCAAAGTGTTGTGGAAATTCCAAATCCGGATTGAGAATCTTTAAAATGATGATTGTGATGATATATTTTCTTTTTATGCCATTTACTGTTTGCCTCTGGAGTTCCATGATGAAGACTAGTTAAAAAATTATCTTTTTAGTAATTTAAAAATCAAAACAAAACTAATAATGTATTAAATCATAAATAATATATCCAGTTAATTTTCCTGTACCAAAACAACAAAAAATCTTTAAAAAATTTAAAAAATATTAAAAATAATCTTTAAAAAACCGGATATGGAAGCAATAAACGATAAAAACAATAAAAGAATCCAACAATAATAAGGGCAGCTGCAGGAGGAAAAACTAAACGATCCTTGTCTAGGGGAGTTTTGTGATGAAGGCCGTGCTAAAAAAATAAATAAAAATTTAAACAAAAAATAAAAATTTTTACTAATAAAAAATGCAAAGTCAATTGTTGTTTGGAATTTGGATTAGGATGCCAATGAAAAATAAAACGATGTAAAGAATATTCCATTAAAGTCCAAAAAAGAATTCCAAACATAAAAAGTGAAAAAGTAAAGAAACCCCCAGTAAAAGAACCTAAAAATTAAAAATAAATTTAAAAAATAAAAAATTAATTTACCAAAATCATTTATTAACAAATTATATCCTTCTAACAGAAAAGTAATAACTAAAGGTAACCAAAACATTGGAATAACCCACCATTTCTAAAAATAAAAATTTTTTTAAAATTTTATTATTAATTACCGTTCGAGTAAGTTGTTCTAAAAAATTTGATTTAAACATTCGAACAGCCCCATCATAAGGTTGATGAATCCTTAAAAAATAACAATATTTAAAAATAAAAAATAAAACCAAGTCCAATAACGTTCTCCTAATTCCCCAATTTTAAATAAAATTGGTTCCTGGCCATCAATAAGTGGATCATTCTTTTTTTAAATTAAAAAAATTAATTTAAAAAGAAAATTAAAAAACAAACTTTAAATTGTTTGTCAAGAGAATATCTTTTTAAAATATTATAAGCTCCCAATGAATGTTTGTGTATAAATCCAAGTAATTCCTCTTCTCCTCTCAAAAACTGTCCAATATCTGAACCTGCGGCGATTTGAAGAACTTTCTCTCCGCCTTAGAAAATACATATTAATTGGAATTAATGATTATAAAAATTATTTTCAAAAATTAATCAAGTTAATTATTTTACTTTTTCTTTTAATTTATTATTAGAAAATTCTAATATTTATTTCCTAAATGTAAATATTAAAAAAATAAATACCAGGGTGTCGAGGTGCAAATTCAGCAATATCAAAAAATTTTCCGTCAAAAGAAACTAAAAGTGGTTGTTTATTTGAAGAATTAGACTTTTCCTTAATCATTCCTTTTTAATCAATTTTTTTCATTTCCTATAAAATAAAAATAAATTTAATTTTTTTAATACAAATCTTAAAAAGATAAAAATTAAGAAAAACATACTAAGGAACAACTTTTTTAATGTTTTATTATGAAATTTATTTTACGGAAATTGTTTTAATTTAATAAGACAAATAAATCATTTCAAAAGTATTATCAAATAAAAAATTATCAATAAACGTGAAAAGTGTCCCTTTCCTTTTAGAAAAGAAAATGTAGTATGTAGAAATTAAATGTTGCCAAAGGTATTTAGAAGAAAATAATAATTTTAATCAATACACAAATCAAATATTAAAAAAAAGATAAAACAAATTATATTTAAATAAATACATTTCCACACATTTTTTAGTTAATTTCTTTTTTCTTTTGTTTCAATATTTTTTAACGTTGATTTCCTTCTTCTTCATTTCTTCCGTCATAAAGTCGTTCTTTTTGTTGTTGAGCAGTCATAATTGATTGAAGCATTCGAAGTGCTGTACTAACTGCATCATTTGGAAGTTTATTAAGAACAGCTTCAGCGTCATTTGGATTCATAAGTGAAGGACCACCACTGCTATTACTTTCTCCTCCAACCCAAGAATCATAATTGTCAGAACGACCTTTTTAGTAATTAAAAAATATTTTTAAAACAAAATTTAAATTACCTAATTTTTGTTGATTTCCAAATGGCATAGAACGAAGCATCTCCTCACGTGGATCAAACGAAGGTGATCGAGGTTTTCGTGTAAATCCGGCACCAACACCAACAGGAGGGAACTAAATGAGAATTTTAAACGAAAATTATAACAAAAAAAAACCGCAGATTGATCACATGTTGATGGATGAGGTCTTTGTATTTGATTATTATATACATATCCTCGTTCACCTCTTGGAGGCAAAACATAATCAGCAGGGACACCGCCACCTCTTGGCATATAATCTTCATTACTTCTCACTGCATAAGCTCCAAACACAGGTGGTTTTTTAATTTGTTGTGGAGGTAATTGAGGATGTTGAACAGAAGAAGGTGGATAATTATTCCAATAAACCTCTGGCTGCCTAGGCCAATTATCAATCACTGGAGGAGGAGGACCTCGTGGCGGTGGACCAACAATTTGTTGAGGTCCTTGCTTTGGAAACCAACCATTCCCACGTTGATTTTGTACTGGAGGAGCAATAATTCCTGGTGTTGTTTCTTCACCTTTTCTAGGCATAGCAAGTGTTAACATAAAATAATGACCATCAATAAAGAAATCATGTTGTCTGAAAAAAAAGATAAAAAAATAAAATAAAAGTCTTTTTTACTTAAGTAATTCCCGTGCAGCAACTGCCGAAGTAACTGTGACAAAAGAAAAATGGCGAAAAGGATTTGGATAAAAAATTTCATTAATTGTCGCTCGTTTATCAAAACGATAAAGATGTTCTTGCAAGTATTCCCGTAAACGTTCTTTTCCAACATCTCCACCCAAATTGCCAATATAAAGTCGAGGATTAACAGAAATATTCTCAAAACTATCACTTTTTCCCTTTAAATTAATTTTTAAAATTTTTATAAAAAAATAAATTTACTTTATCTAATGCAGACATTTTTATAACACATTCACGTCCACCAATAGTATGGATTGGAACAGAAAGTGCACGGACTTGATCCAAATAATTTATCATTCTAACAAAAGCAAAACCGCGAGAACCACCATTTGGTTTTCTCTTAATCTAAAAATAATTTTTAAACCAGTAAAGTTTGAATATTTTTCTAAAATTTTCAGCCTCAAATCTAAAAAATTCATTATTTCTTTTAAGAAAAATAAAACTAACATCCTAAGAACTTTAGAACTCTTTTAAAAAATTAAATATAATTAGACACAATTTTCTATTAGAATAAATTTCTTTTAATCATCAAAACAAAACTATAACAAAAAATTGAAATGTTTTGCCTGAATGTCTTTATAAACATATAGCAGGAAACTAAAAATATCCAGACCCATATCTTAATAAAACATATTCAACATTTCACAACCTAATTATGTATTTACAAACCTCTTCATACTCGACAGCTCCAAATTGTTCAAAATATTCTCGAAATTCCCAATCATCAAGCTCGTATGGAAGACCAAAAACAATAAGGTCAGATGGAACTCTTTCAACAGCCGCAGGTGGTAATTCAAAATTACCACTACGTGTCGAACCTTTAGAGATAAACTCCTCCTTATACTCACTCCCTCCCTCATGATGCTCCTTATTTTCTTCATTAAAATTATTTGGCTTTTCATCTAATTCTTCTACTAACAAATTATTATCTTTTTTTAAAACTTTCTTATTGTTGTTGCTACTTTCACTATCAGATTTTCGTTTCAAATTTGCAATAGGAATAGGTTCCTTTTCAAAAGGCTCAGTTTTCACATCATTATCTAATAAATTTAAAATAACTTTTTACAAAAATTCCATTCAAAAAATGTTGTAAAAAAATCTTTTCTTTTTCTCGTTTAATTTTATTGACATTTCACTCTTATCAGATATAGCTAATAGAAAAATCCCTCACTTTACGAACTTAAGAATATAATTCAAAAAGCAATCTAACAATAAGTAAATTATGGAACCCCATCCAAAGAAGATGAAACAAAAAGATAGATATTATTTATCGGGAACATCTTTTCTTAACTATGATTTGCAATGGGAAGCGAAATAACAAAAAATATTTTAGAACAAATTTCAAAAACTATCAACATTAATCATAAGAATTGACTGTGATATTTTTAAAAATTTTTCAGTATATTTTTAACTAGGGTTGCCGTTTTCGAGTCGGGCCGACGGTCGAGGCATTTCTTTTTTCGGGCTTGTTTTTATCGAGTCGGGCCGGTACGAGTCTTTTTCGGGCCTAAATTTATCGAGTCGGGCCGGTAAGAGTCACTTTCGGGCCTAACTTTATCGAGTCGGGCCGTTACGAGTCTTTTTCGGGCCTAACTTTATCGAGTCGGGCCGATACGAGTCTTTTTCGGGCCTAAATTTATCGAGTCGGGCCGGTAAGAGTCACTTTCGGGCCTAACTTTATCGAGTCGGGCCGTTACGAGTCTTTTTCGGGCCCAAATTTATCGAGTCGGGCCGGTACGAGACTTTTTCGGGCCAAACATCGAGGCCTGACTCGATCTTTCGGTCCGAGTCGGTCCATTTTGGCAACCCTATTTTAACCCTCACTATATTATACATTGTGGTTACCGTTAAATACAAATATGAACTCGTACTATAATATACTACTTAATACCTAATCATGAATCTTCATTGTAGTTTTTTATTTCAAATTATTTTCTGAGTTTGATAACTCTCTTAACTTTTAAACCAAAAAAGCGATTACTAGGAAAGAAATGATTTTAGTTTAATTTACAGAATTGTATCCATATTTCTGAATAATCAAATTATATATAGAATATTTTACTAAAATATATACAAAAAAATTTTCAAATCATTACACCACAACTCTGTTATTATTAAAATAATTTGAGATGTTTTCCAAATCTTAAACAAAATTTTTGACCTCAAAAAACTAGAAACACATCAAATTACTTAAGTTAAAGAAACATAACGTTGTACCTTGATATAATTAAAGGTAGATAACAAATTACTTTACAAACCCCCAGTTATTAAAACTTTCAATAAATCTACAATTAAAAAAACTCACCCGACGAAACACTGACTATAGGAGGAACCTTTGGTTGAAAAATAACATCAAACAATTTTCCTCCCCATCCATCAGAAGGTGCCACAAAAGCTTTTTTATTATCATCAAACCTGAATTTAAAAATTAACAAAATTAACGTTAAAAGTTAACAACAACATACGAAACAATCCGTTTTCCACCAGTACTTGGATTTTTATATTTTAAGCCATGGGCACCAGGAAAAGCGTGCTCAAGTGAAGAAATCGGCAAAGTTTGGTCTTTTGAAAGAAGAATTTCTACAGGATCATTATCTGTTGGATCAAGTACCAGAATAAACTGAAAATAGAAATGAAATTAAATAAAAACAATTAAAAATACTTGATCTCCTATCTCCTCATCTTCATTAACCACGTGTAAACCATTTTCATCGTTAGCCATTTAAGCGGTTTTTAATAAATTTGGTAAATTAGCCGCAGAAAATTACCTAAATAATAGCGATTACTGAAACGTTCCTAAAACTCTTTTGGCATTTCAATTTGCCAAACATATACTTTATGTACATAAGATCAAATTACATAATGTCCATTTAATGGAGATATGACAATTGGCAATGGGTTGTTGTTGCTGGGTACGGCCCACTTAGTCGCGGGCCACTTAGTCGCGACCACTTAGTCGCGACCACTTAGTCGCCGGCCACTTAGTCGCAGGCCCACTTAGTCGCAGGCCACTTCGTCGCGAAGGTACTTTTTTCCAGGTCGCTTAAAACTTAAATCAAAGGTAATATCGAGGGATTTGGATGTGATATCGAGGGATTAAATAGTGTAAAGCAGATATAGGGATTGAATATCTGGGGATTTGGCTTTCCAAAACTTGGATTGGCTTTCCAAACTTGGATTGGCTTTCCAAAACTCACTTGGCCTTCCTAAATTCACAAAATTTTGCCTGCGGCGCTAAAGAGGAATGAGGAATATTTTCGAAACTTTGCATGGATTAATGGGATTTGGAGTGAGATCTGTCGGGATCAGAGCTGCGTCGAAACAAAAAAAATTATCGAAAACCGGAACTCGAAAATCAAAAGAAATCCAAAAATATCGAAACCGAATATCGAAATTTTATGAAAAAATTCGAAAATCGGAAATTCCGGTTCCGGGATACGGAACTCAAATTGGATCCGGTTCCGATTCCGGTCAAAATATCGGTTCCGGTGCAACACTGCTTTTTAGCTAGTTCGCGACTAAGTGGCCTGCGACTAAGTGGGCCTGCGACTAAGTGGCCGGCGACTAAGTGGTCGCGACTAAGTGGTCGCGACTAAGTGGCCTGCGACTAAGTGTCCGT